CCCGACACCCCCCCCCCCCTTTTTTTTCTCAGCCCCCCCTGCTCAAAATACGTTCCCGCGGCTATGTCCTTACCTGTTTGAAGGTGTACGCGCATCAGGTGAACTGGACGAACTGAGCTGCTGGTGACGTCACTGTCGCTGAAGATGACGCGTGGTATTTAGACGCATCCGCTCTCCCCCGAAGTTAATTTGAAGGATTGGCGTATCATATGCACGCAAAATTGGCATTTGGTGTATGCATTACACGCAGTTAGAAAGTGTAAAGTCGTGTTATTTATACGCAGATTGATGAGAACGGGTTGGATTTCTGACAGGCAGTTTATTCTCGTGATGTGACCCTGTTCCCCTCACACACACACACACAACGCGTTACTCTGCGTAGCGCAAAACTCCGCATTTGAACAGTCAATAGCAAATACTTGAACTAATAACAAAACATACTTACAGTCGCTGATTCAGAAGCGCCAGATTGTCATAGCAAAGTCGGAAGTGACCCTTTTTTTTTTTTAGAAATAGCCTTTGTGCACAGCCAGCCTTGTACTCTTCTAGGTTCAAAAACTGTCGTCCAAAAAATGCGTTGCACAAATTCGAATATCTGGGTTGTGCTGTTCTGTTGTAAATAAATCTTAACCAATGATTCCTAATTGCATCTACTTCCGGAAGGCCAAATAAAGTGCTTTTGCTTTCGCACTGAAACACACAGCGTCTCCCTGACATGGCTGCTTCAACACTACTGCTGTTCCTGAAACCACGCCTTCTTTCCTCACATTTGGGCGGCATTATGCTAATATTTTCACATAGTGACATAGATATGTGGCGGCATGTTAGAACGAGCAGTTTTAGGTAGGCGTTTTTGACTCTTAACTTTTATAAAGAATATCTATTTGGATTAGAGACTTTAGTCTTTGCAACTTAACAGATCTTCTCTATGCACCAAGAGCTTGTAACTCTCCAAAGAGAAATGAAAACTTGAAATCGCATCATATGACCCCTTTAAATTTTCTTGTGATTTGCACCATTTTTTCCCCCCCCACTTTCTTCCAGATATGTCAAGTGGACAAATCAACTGCTCCAAGGTCAACATCAATTACTCCCTGTTTTTTTAAAAGAAAGAAAAAAATAAAAGAACGGCAATGTTACCTCTTGTCTGATTCAAGTGTTTGAATACAACTCAAATGAAAAATCATTATTCATTTCCAATGACTCCACAAATTAAATAACTTTCACTCCCAATAGTGAATATTAAATATTCAATTCAACCTAGTTGAATTCAGGTGTGTTTAATTAGGGTTGGTGCTAAACTCTGCAGGACAGCGGCCCTCCAGGACCGAGTTTGGGCACCCCTGGTTTACATTTACAAAATGAATCAGTATGTCGCAGCCTGAATTCATAACCTTAGTTCAACTGAATCGATTTCTCCATTTTCTGTCGGCTCAATCTCAGCCTCTGTGAAATTACAACAGTTAGCCTACATATACATTGTTTGAACAAAATTATTGCTAGGGACAATTTAGTATTCGCTGGATATTGGTAGCTAGTGTCTCTACTAAATTCTACGCCCTTGGAGAAATCTCAGTTGTTTTCACTTCATTTTTGTATTTGCTGCAGCAAGTAATCACACACACCTACACAACATGTTGATGTGTTTTAGCTGATGTTATTCAAAACCCACCAGATGGCGTCACTCAGTACAATAAATAAAAATGATGCCAGTAGAAAGGTGTAAATATGAGTCAAAACTGTCTTACTGATCTGCACCTGCAGGACAAAACTGTGTGTTAAAAGAATATTTAAAAGTTATTCTGTGTTTAATTGAGTTAGTTTTTTATTATTGTTAGGCCTATATGTTTGAATATGCAATATTCAATATATTTATTTCACCAGGAGTAGACAGTGATAGAGGCAGAACACGGTCAAGGGTGAGACCAATTTGAATAAAGTTATACATTTCCATGCGATTAGCTAAAAAATAGAACATTTACATGAGTTTCTGATGCTATGATAACCCCACAATTAAACTAAAACAGCAACAACATTTCAGACATGAAGAGAGAGTATGTGCAAAAAAACAACAAAAAAACAGATGAAATCTTAATGTAAACAAAACAGAAATAGACAGAAATATCCTGGCAGAGATTAGATGTGAACTAAAACGTATGAGTCAGGGGTCAGTATGAGCTCTAAAATATATTTGATCATTGCTGATTATTTCTGCCGGTATTTCCATAAACAGGCTCCTTTGATTTCTGTAAGGAAACACAAACTCAATCAAGAACCTGCTAATGAGACAGTTAAAAAAACATTTGAAAAAAAAGGATAATATAATAGAATTTAGCTTCAAATTCACTCAGAATGAATATTAACTTGAGTCCAACCTTTATAAGTCCTTATTACATTTTCTGCAAAACAATTTATTATAATGTATAAGATTTGAACACTTGAATTGATTGTAGCCTATGTATTGTTTAATGATGGCTAACGTTTACTTGATGTGAATATTTTTATCTGTAGGACAGCCTATATTTTCTAGTGGTAACCTTAACAATAAATAATTGTAGGCCTATAAACACCACAAAAAATAAGACTGCAGAGCCAATGGCTGTAGCTGGACTAGGTTATAAGCTCCACCCATTACGTCCGGAGAAGGGAAGTGAGCACCTCTGTAACACCGTGTTCTATTTTAGTTGCAGAGTCCAACTGCAAATGTGGACGATATTGTAAACGAGCGTGTATCCATTTATCGTTTTTCCCGTTCCACTGCGTTACCTTTTCATTGTTTTTCTATTGTTTTGGTTTTGTTTAGTTTATGCTCCGCCAAGCGCGCATGTGGTGTTGCCATGTCCACTTATTATAAGCATCTTTGGGAGTCTTATTTTCTTCCAATACTAAGCTGGAGTGTGTACGTAGGTACGGCCGATCATTCACACCTGAACATCGCTTTGACACTAAAAACAACTCCTTGGTAAATAAAAAGCGGACGAGCGCACAATTCTTATCTAACATTAGTCTCCCCGACCACGGCACACACAGAAGTGTACTGTTTTAACCCGCGACGGAGATAAACTTACTTTCTTCCGGGAAACACGAAGGGTGGTGGAAAACAGAAAGTAAGAAAATGCAATGAATGTTAAAGGTGAGTGAGGCTGACGTGCTGTGAGTACTTTGAGCAAATTAAGACAATAAATCACTTTACTGCGTGATAATAAATCTAGCTTTATGCACATTAGTTTGAGGAAATAGGTACTTTATGCTTAATTGTTTAATATTTTTAATATTTACAGGTGCAAACAGTGTAAATAGCATACAAGCATGCTTTTTTTTTTTTTTAAACGGTCCTTACTGAAGGTAATATGATCAAGCCTGACCCCACATCTGTTCACTGTCTGTCATATTACACACAAAACTTCAATCATCAAGCTTTAATCAGACTGCAACATCATCTTGCAACACAGTCATGAATGATCTTACCGTTTTTCGAGGTTTTGGTGTAGGCAGTGTTGAATCATTTCCATATATCTCGTTGATTATGACTGCATTAACAGTAATCACAGTCATGTTGAAACAACAAAGATTTCAATCTTATATTGAAATATATGCCTTAAAAGAGAGAACTCTTTCAAAATAGGCATTAATTGCTTGCTTTTCTGACCTCTTTTTCTACGTTCCCAGCAGAAGCAGTACCACATGACTGCAGCTACGATCAACAGAGCTCCAGCAGCAGCAGAAATCAGCACTATGTACAATAAAGGTTGGCCCTGATCTGTAATGAACAAAATGAGCCATTAGTGCGAATGAATCTGTCCATCTGATCTACAACAAACACTATCAAACATCAGCACTGTATAACTGAGAGTAAATCAACATTAATGTCAGCGCTGCCATACCTGCACATGTGTGACAGAGTTGTCTGATGTCCAGATGTTGAGTCTGGTTGCTGATGGGATTGTTGAGCACACAGCTGTAGGTGTTGTTATCCTGATATTCCACCTCCAGAGGTAGAGAGAGACTGATGCTGAGATCAGACACACTGATGCTGGACAATAAACTGTTTCCTTTGTACCAGGAGAGAGTCCCATGACCCACATTCACCACTGAGCACAACAATGAACAATTCTGCTGTGATGATGATGATGATGATGACGAAGAGCATTGTGAAGAGTTACTGCTGATGACAGGAACAGGCAGACGAGCTGAAAACATGAGAGAATAACCAACAACTTGGGCAAATCTAGTCAACAATCTTATTTTTGGTGTAGTGTGTTCACAATCAGTGAGTGTTTGTGTCATTTCAAACTATAAAATGATGAAACACTTCAACAGTAACAGGAATATTCTGGTTTCAGTAAAACCAGAAGCTACCAGTTAAACTCAATTGACAGAATTTGTAGCATTGAAGGTCCCAAATGATCTCTACTCACCATAGACAGAAACACTAAATGTTTTTGATGACAGTTTCTTTCCAGTAATATCTAGTTCATAGAGTCCCGCGTGTTTATTTGTGATGTTTGTGATGGTCAGAAATCCAGTTTGTATGTCCAGCTTCAGTCTGCCTCTGAATCTTCCATCAGTACCATTAAATGTGGAGAAGATTTGCTGTTGTTTAATTTTAGCTATTACTGATTTTTCAAGTCCAAATTTCCACAGTATGTCGTCAGCTTGTCGTACTTCAGTAACTTTAGTTTTTAAAGTAACAGAATCTCCCTCCGTCACTGACACTGACTCACCAAACACACCTGAAGAGCATGAACATTAGATGAAACATGCTCACTGAACTTACATAATGAACATAATTAATCACAATAAAGACCTGACAGGTTGAAACATTGATCTGTTTGGGGGAGAAAAAAAAATTGGAGATGATTTTTTTTTGAACATTTAGATAAATAGATAAACTGGTTACTACCAAAGTATTTTTTAAATAATTTTTAGACAGGATTTGCGTTTGTAAACCTTGAAATTGAAGTTACATTTACTATATCAATTTCCATTATTTTCCATGACATCTGTGAAGAATGTTACTGATATTAAGCAAAAAACAAAACATGTATTTATGACTTACCAATCAAATGCCACCAACACAAACAGAACAAAACAAACATGTGAAACATTTTCTTTAGTTGTGAAAAGTCTGATCTAAAACACTTGAGCTGTTCAACTTCTGTGTGAATCCTCCCACGAAAGCACTTGACCCTCCTATAGTGGGTGGAATGCACAAGCTCTTTGCGAATAATATATGGTTATAAATAAATGCTTGACTGGCTCCTTTTAAGACTATATAATAGTAAACATTCTTTGTTCTATCATTTAACACTGAACATTTTCAAAAGAAGATATTTTAAAGAATGTTGGCAACCAAACAGTTGCTGGTAGCCATTGACTTCCATAGTATTGGAGTCAATTGGGAACAACAACTATTGGGTTTCTAACATTCTTTTTAATTTTATATTTTATATATACTGTATACACTCACCGGCCACTTTATTAGGTACACCTGTTCAATTGCTTGGTAACATGGCAGCAACTCAATGCATTTAGGCATCTAGATGTGGTGAAGACGACATGCTGAAGTTCAAACCGAGCATCAGAATGGGGAAGAAAGGGGATTTAAGTGACTTTGAACGTGGAATGGTTGTTGGTGCCAGACGGGCTGGTCTGAGTATTTCAAAAACTGCTGATCTACAGGGATTTTCACGCCCAACCATCTCTTGGGTTTACAGAGAATGGTCTGAAAAAGAGAAAATATCCAGTGAGCGGCAGTTTTGTAGACGAAAATGCCTTGTTGAGGTCTAGAGGAGAATGGGCAGACTGGTTGGAGATGATAGAAAGGCAACAGTAACTAGTAACCACTCGTTACAACCAAGGTATGCAGAATACCATCTCTGAACGCACAAAACGTCAAACCCTGAAGCAGATGGGCTACAGCAGCAGAAGACCACACCGGGTGCCGCTCCTGTCAGCTAAGAACAGGAAACAGAGGCTACAATTCGTACAGGCTCACGAAAATTGGACAATAGAAGATTGGAAAAACGTTGCCTGGTCTGATGAGTCTCGATTTCTGTGGCGACATTCAGATGGTAGGGTCAGAATTTGGCGTAAAGAACATTTCATGGATCCGTCCTGCCTTGTCGCAATGGTTCAGGCTGGTGGTGGTGGTGTTATGGTGTGGGGGATATTTTCTTGGCACACTTTGGCCCCTTAGTACCAATTGAGCATCGTTTAGACGCCACAGCCTACCTGAGTATTGTTGCTGACCATGTCCATCCCTTTATGACTACAGTGTACCCATCTTCTGATGGCTACTTCCAGCAGGATAATGCACCATGTCACAAAGCTCAAATCAAATAATCTCAGACTGGTTTCTTAAACATGACAATGAGTTCACTTTACTCAAATGGCCTCCACAGTCACCAGATCTCAATCCAATAGAGCGCCTTTGGGATGTGGTGGAACGGGAGAGTTGAATCATGGATGTGCAGCCGACAAATCTGCAGCAACTGCGTGATGCTATCATGTCAATATGGACCAAATTCTCTGAGGAATGTTTCCAACACCTTGTTGAATCTATGCCATGAATAATTAAGGCAGTTCTGAAGACAAAAGGGGGTCCAACCCAGTACTAGCAAGGTGTACCTAATAAAGTGGCCAGTGAGTGTGTATGTGTGCGTGTGTATGTATATGTGTATATATATATATATATATATATATATATATTCTATATATATATATATATATTAGCCATGACATTAATAAAGAAAGATGCTAATTGACCCTTTGCAAAGACCTGCCCCACTTCGTTGCTGTTGCTATGTCCAACAAGCTATGACGGTGAAAAATACATCACGGAACAAAGAGGAAAACTGGCAGCACACTGACAGACAAGACAGAGCAGGTTACTTTATGTATGAAACAAAAGTCTCAGCTTTCAAATGATGTCATTTTTTTAAAAAGAAATTTGAACAATAAATACCATTTTGTGGCTCCACTCACTATCACTATTAGGAATCTATATTCCCTCCAGAAGTCTGAGATCTACTAGTGAGTGTACCATCACAGAGAGGCACAAAATCACATTCCAGAACATTCTTGTTCACCGTTCCTGGCTGGTGGAATGGTCTTCCCACCCCTATCTGGAATGCTGATTCCCTGACCATTCTCAAGCGACAGCTGAAAACTCATCTCTTTTGTCACCATCTAACTTCATCCTAAAAAAACCCACCTTTTCTTCTCTTTACTTAATCCCCAGTCTAGCTTGTACTCATTAAGAACAATGCCTGAAACTTGGTATTATGAGCACTTCCTGTGCCTATTTACCTCTTTAAGATGAATCGTTTGATGTAGGCTACTCCACAATTGTAAATTGCTTTGGATAAAAGTGTCTGCTAAATGAATAAATCTAAATGTAAATATATTTAATGTGGTGTGAAAGATCGCTGTAACGCCTCAATTGCGGAAAGATGGCAATATACACAATTTTCCAAGTTCAGGTCCACTAACATTAATCTACTGTCTGGTTTGTTTGACAAAATGGAAGATTCTGAATTATGATTGGTCAGATCGCCTGTCAATCAAACTCCCAGCGAAGTGTCAATTACAGTCAGAGTGTGCAGTTACAAAATCTACCAGCAGGGGCAAATGGGACAAGACTAGTAACTGATGTTCTTTTTTCCCCTCTGCTCAAGGTTTTTCCTCTTCTTCTACAACTGGGTTAATTATTAGGCCAGACTCAAGGTCTTTCTCTACTACTGTGTGTGCTAGTGAAAGATTTCTAATGTTTAGGCTACATGATAATGTTATTGTTCTGATTGCAGGTGGAACTGTAATGTGTAATTCCACAAGACTCTCACATTACTAGTTTCCCCCGTTTACCTTGTTTTATTTTTTTAAATAACTAAAATAATAAACTACCTTTTAAACTCAACAGTGGTCTTCGTTTTTTAGAGTATTAAAATCTAGAGGGGCTTACTGTTTATACTGCGTGTTTAACCCTTGTGCGCTCCTCATTTGGGAGTCAAAAGTGACCGGACACCTGACTTTTTTTTTTTTGCTTTAGTACAATCAATCTAATATATTTTTGTTCAATAATATTTTGAGAGAATTTTAAGGTAATAATTAATATTATGCGATAATTATAAACTTTTCCCATTGAAAATAGTAAAAAACAAAAAAATCTCTAAATGTTTCAATCAATGCAGCATCTCTGATTAAAATAGAGATTAGGCCTTTAAAATCAATTTTTTAAGGCAGATTAGCACTTCCTGGTGAGAGCAAAAAAAGAAAAACATGTAATTTAATGTTGTAACCACTAGATGCCTGTATAGGAATCTATAGAGAGGCTTTTGAATTCTCTAGTTGTTTTTATACATAATTGTTTACTTTTATTAGGTTGTGGATTTAAATGTATATTAAGGCATTCTCAAAGACTACTATTTGTCAAGGTTTATATATTTTTTGTTGTTTTAAATGTTGATTTGAAGCATCAGTGTTTGCATTATTATTACTACAGTCAAACCTGAACACAGAAAGCATTTTGTTACACAAAACATTAAAATTCTATAACAATGTAACAAAAATAAACAGGAATGCTTTATCAGAGCTTAATCCTTCTGGGCCTGATCTGATTGTAACCTCTTATTTCAGTTTTCTCACTCATTTTGGCTATATGGTTATAGCCATACCAATTCGTTTGAGTGTGGATAATTGTGTGTGTGTGTGTGTGTGTCTGTGAGTGTG